CTAGGGTTGAACCCAGGACCTTTGCCCTGAGCTTTCTGTGTAGAGTTGTTAACTGGCAGAAAGACAGACAAAATAACCGTGCACTTTGTTCAGTGAAGGTTTTGGCTCAGCTTGTCCCCCAGACATGTAGGTGCTGGAAGCGTGGTCCTTGGTGTGCCAAAAGGGAGGTGCTGGGATCTTTAAGAGGCAGAGCCCAGGGGAGGTCTTTAGGTCATTGTGGACCCTGCCTCAGAAAGTACTGAGAAAAACCTCAGGGGACTCTTGTTGGTTCTCCAGAGGTAGTTGTTAGGAACCTGTTAAAGAACCCAGCCACCCGGCCTCTGTGCCTTTCTGTTTTCAAGGGGATTTTCCTCTTTCCCACACACATCTTTGCCTTTGCCCTTGGCTACAAGGTGGTCCAGTCAATGAGGCCCTCAGCACAATCTTTCTCTTCCTTGTTCCACTTCCAGCTTGCATAACCTTTTCTCTATGTCAAGTGAGCTGCCTCTGGCATATTGTCATAGTGAGAGAATGGACTCATACAGCACAGTTTCTGTGACAGATCACCATGTAACTCATCCCTCAAAATCTCCCATGTTTCACCTTTACAATTCCAGAGGCCAAGAGCAAGTCCAAAGTCCGCCTCATGGGGCTGCCATTTAGATGTAGGTATGTAGCTGGCCCCTCCCAGAGCCTTGGGAGAATCTGGGACCCACCTGTCCCAGCCTCTAGAGGTGCCAGTAGCCTTCAGTTCACAGCTCCTTGCTTTCTTCTCTCCAATCAGTTTTTAAAATTTAATTTAATTAAATTTAATTAATTAATTTGGTACAGGGTATTACTCTGCAGTTCAGACTCATAGTGATCCTCTTGCCTCAGACTCCCCAGTTCTGGGCTTATAGGTGTACACCACCACGCCCAGCAGGGTGTGCCTGGGGTTCCAGGGCCTGCATGGCACGTGGTACTGGAGATCAAACCTGGGTCCTTGCGCTTGTCAGTCAGGTACTTAGACTACCAAGCTATCTCCCCAGCCCCTAAATTTTTATTTTTGTTATACTGCAATTCAAATTTAGGGCCTTCATACTCAGCCATATCCCCAACCCATTTATATATTTGTTTTGTTATTTTTTTAATGTTTCCTTTATTTATTTTCTTCTTCTTTTTTTTTTTAATGGTCAGCTCAGCCCACCCTGGGGGCATGTGGTGCTGGGGATGGAACCGAGGTCCTTGCATGCTTCCCTAATCTTGCCTAAGCAGGCGCTTTAGACCACTGAGCTATCTTGCCAGCCCCTATATATTTGTTTTGGATATAGGGTCTCAATATGAAGTCCAGGCCGACCTTGAACTCACTTTGTCACCCAGGCTGGTCTTGAACTCAGCCTCCCAGGTGCTAGGATTACAGGGTGCACCACCATGTCCATCCTTACGTTTTTATTTTGAATCAAGTTCTCACTTAGTTGTTAAGTTGATCAGGTTGAGTTGGAGCTTGCAATACTCCTGCCTCAGCCTCCTGAGAAGCTGAGGTAACAGGCATGCACCACTACCACCTCCACTCCAGGGGGCTCTTGATAGTGTTAGCGGCACCTCCCGCTCGCCACCCCTAGAGGCGCTGGGCCAGGTGTGGCCTGGGACCGCAGGGCCTACCTGGGGAGATCCTCATCCTGCCATTCCTCCCGCACGTCCACATTTTCCATCCGGAGTGTGGCCTCTGTAGTCCCCATGGGAGCCGGGAAGAGGGGCTGGCTGAAGCAGGAAGAGCCCTGAAGAAGAGCCATAGAGGGAGGAGTGAGTTTCACTGGACAAGAATTGCAACAGCCACGCCTCCCTCCACCTGCAGCATGTAGGGGGTGGATCTGCAGAGTTCGTGTGCCTGTTGTCTTATTGAGTCTTTGATGGGCCCCACGACAGGTTTTCATTCCACAGCTGAGAACTTCTAGGTGGGTATGGAATTGGAATGCAGGTTAGGAGCTGGGCTTGCTGCTATAATCGCGTCCATACTGGGACCTGTGAAATCCACTCCCCAGAGCAAGTGATGATCACAGCAGACTCTTTCTCTCTCTTACTTTGGACCTCATCCAAGAAACAATGAATTAAACAACAAACAACAGTCCGTAACTTACAATAAAGTGTGAATGACTTGTAGGGTTCATTTCCCCTCCCCCCTTTCAAAGAGTACCCGCCTACTCCAACTCCCCTCTGCCTGCACCAGGCCATCAGCCCCACCCCCGCGGTCCTTCCACAAGTCCTGACATCCTTCCTGCACCAGGGCTAAGAAGGCAGTGTGGAAAGGGCCTGGGCTCGCAAATCAGATCAAAATCATCATCAACCCCAAACAAAATGCAGGCTTGGTTTTTGTTGTTCTGAGCCCATGACTGGGGTGAGCCTCTGGGTATTGATTGGCTTCAGCACTCGGCCCCCTCCTGGCAGAATCAGAGCAGCTGAGGGAGGCCGAATGTATTTGTACTTTGAGGAATGACAGGCTCCCAAATGCTTCACCTTTCTGGGCCTCAATTTCCCTGTCTGTAAGGAAAGAGTCAAATGGGAGATGACCTCTCTGACACCTTCCAAACATCAGATTCCAAGCTGTTGGGGCTCAGCCAACCTCCAAGGGGAATTTCATGCTCTTTTTGGTTTTGTTTTGTTTTGTTTTGTTTTTGTTGCTGTTTTGTTTTGGGGTCCTGGGAATTGAACTCAAGACCTTGCACCTGCCACTGAGCTATAGCCCCAGCCCTGGAATTTCATGCTCTTAAATCACCAGTTCACACCTGGGGATTATTTCCCACCTCCCACACCTGTCGGGGACACTCATTAATGTCTCTGAGGATTTGGGGGTTGCATCCTGGGGCAGAGGTCAGGAAAGCTGCTCAGCTTCGTGTAATGCCTAGGACAGACCACGTGTCCAGGAATGGCCTGGCCCCAAGGCTGGGGACACCTTCTAGGAAAGGAAATAGGGTCATGCTCGTGACACACACCTGTCATCCTGGCACGGGGGAGACTGAGGCAGGAGGATTGAGAGTTCAAGGCCAGCCTGGGCTACATAAGGAGACACTGTCTGAAAACAAAAACAAGGCCCCGGGATGGAGCTCAGCTGCACAGTGCCTACCCGGTAAGCACAAGTGCCTGAATTCAATGTCTGGCACCAAAAAAGAAAAAAAAAAAAAAAAAAAAAGACAAGAAAAAGAGGAAACAGCTTTTCTGCATTTGTCCACCACTCT